AGCCATACCATCTTTAGCAGCATAATAAACACGCGTTAAAAATAGTTGTGATATTTGCGTTGAATCTTCATTTAATTTAATATTTTCCATTTTGTGTAATATTTTCTTTCTAAGTTCCTTTTAGACGTTAAGCGTGATATAAAAATAGATTTATACTAATATTCTTTTCTTATTGAAATTTGTCGATGTCATTCTAACCTCGAAACTTTCATAATATACATACATACAATAAATTATAAGAAAACCAGAAAATTTTTCCGACAATATATAATAGTACACTGATAATCTTGTATAACAACAACGTTCAATATTAGTTATAATCTTGTTTACTACTATTACAATCACTTTTACTTTTACAACTGCTTAATAATTATTTTCAGACTTTCAATACATATTACACTATGCAAGTTCTATTTTAAAATCATCTTTACTTCATTTTTAAAATGAAAATTGAAATATACACATTTATTTTTTTATTCACCTACATAATAATTGACACTTTGTATCAATTACGATAAAATTTAAAAAATAAACAAACAATACATTAATTTTAAAATATACGAAAAATTTCATTTATCAAAGTTTGCAATTTATTACAAGATTTAAATATTACATATATATATATATATATATATATATATATATATATATATATATATATATATATATATATATATATATATATATATATATATATATATATATATATATATATATATATATATATATATATATATATATATATATATATATATATATATATATATATATATATATATATATATATATATATATATATATATATATATATATATATATATATATATATATATATATATATATATATATATATATATATATATATATATATATATATATATATATATATATATATATATATATATATATATATATATATATATATATATATATATATATATATATATATATATATATATATATATATATATATATATATATATATATATATATATATATATATATATATGTAATATTTAAATCTTGTAATAAATTGCAAACTTTGATAAATGAAATTTTTCGTATATTTTAAAATTAATGTATTGTTTGTTTATTTTTTAAATTTTATCGTAATTGATACAAAGTGTCAATTATTATGTAGGTGAATAAAAAAATAAATGTGTATATTTCAATTTTCATTTTAAAAATGAAGTAAAGATGATTTTAAAATAGAACTTGCATAGTGTAATATGTATTGAAAGTCTGAAAATAATTATTAAGCAGTTGTAAAAGTAAAAGTGATTGTAATAGTAGTAAACAAGATTATAACTAATATTGAACGTTGTTGTTATACAAGATTATCAGTGTACTATTATATATTGTCGGAAAAATTTTCTGGTTTTCTTATAATTTATTGTATGTATGTATATTATGAAAGTTTCGAGGTTAGAATGACATCGACAAATTTCAATAAGAAAAGAATATTAGTATAAATCTATTTTTATATCACGCTTAACGTCTAAAAGGAACTTAGAAAGAAAATATTACACAAAATGGAAAATATTAAATTAAATGAAGATTCAACGCAAATATCACAACTATTTTTAACGCGTGTTTATTATGCTGCTAAAGATGGTATGGCTATTATTCTTTATAATCTTCTCAGTAGCAAAGATGCTAAACTGGTAAATGTTGTGATTAATCAAAAAGTATTGGAAGAAGATGGTCAGCATTGTACACCATTAATAATAGCTGCACGATATGGCCGTGATAAAGTAGTTAAAATATTACTTGATAAATTTAAGCCTGATTTGGAACAGGAAGGAACAGTTAAATTTGATGGATATGTTATTGAAAAGGCAACTGCTCTATGGTGTGCTGCTGGTGCAGGACATTTGACAGTTGTGAAGATACTAGTAAAAGCTGGTGCCAATGTTAATCACCCTACTAAAAGCTTATCTACCCCTTTGAGGGCAGCTTGTTTTGATGGACGATTAGATATTGTCAAATATTTAATAGAACATAATGCAGATATAAATATTTTTAATCAGTTCAATAATACATGTTTAATGATTGCTGCACATAAGGGTCATTTAGATATAGTAAGTATAACATTATAACTTGAATAATATAAAATTATTTATTTAACTTATAATGTCAATTTCAGCAATTTTATTATATTTACAACAGGTGACTTTTCTTTTGCAAAAAGGTGCAAATCCAAATGAAAAAGCAAATTGTGATACAACTGCATTACATTTGGCAGCTGAACGTGGATATACTAATATAATATCTGAGTTATTGAAATATGGGACAAATATGACAAAGAATGTTAGAGGAATGACACCATTAATAGCAGCAGCAGAAAGAACTAGGGCAGAAGTCGTAGAATATTTAATAAAATATGTAAAAGTTACTAGAGAAGAAGCAATTGAAGCATACGAGCTTCTTGGAGCTTCTTATGCCAATGATGAGCGCAATTATTGTTTAACAAAAGCTTATAAATATTTATGGAAAGCAATGAAACATAGGTAAAAAATATTTATAATTTTAGAAAAATGATATTCAGGAACAACTAGTTAATTCTTGTTGTTACAGATTCAGAGATCCAGATAATATTATTTATAAAAAATTAGGTAAAAGTATAAAAGCATATGATAATTGGAAAGAATGTGATACTCTAGAAAAATTGAAAAGTATTAGAAATAATCAAAATGCTATTCATATGGAATCATTGGTTATTCGAGAGAGGATACTAGGTTACAATTTTAATTCAATAAACATTGATAGGATAATTCTCTTTTGTTATTGTTTTTATCCTGCTTATTTTTATTATTTTATTAATATTAGGACAGCATAACCCAAAAGTGCCACATCATATTATATTCAGAGGAGCAGTTTTTGCAGATAGTGCTAGATTTGATAGATGTATAGATCTCTGGCTTCATGCTTTATATTTGAAGCAACTGAACAATATACCAGTTGTAAAAGATCTTTTAAGGTTTGCGCAGGTATTTATCCACTAAATGATCCGATTAAACAATTTTATATATTCCCTATAATTCGTTCTATTTTTTTTAAATCTTATTTGTAGGTATTTTCACAAATGATACATGTAGGAGTAGATCTTGAGTTTTCTCAAGTCTTGAATGTTTTAGAAGCTTGTGTAACAGAACTTACTCGTAATAAATCTAAACTCAACAATCCTGATTCTGAGGAAGATATAGAACAACATATTGTAAGCTAAAAAATTGATTTATGTGTTGAATTATATATTATGAAATAACTTTCTTAAATTAAAAATTGCAGGAGGAGATGGAATCAAATATTACAACTACATTGTATATATTAACGATTTTAACAAAACTTTTAACATTGAATGAGAGTAAATATGAAGAACAAGATAAAAATAAGGCATATCAATTAGTTCATAAACTCTGTGCTCTACAATTACGTTTAAAGGATGGCCAGACATTACTGCATCTTGCCGTAA